CTTCGCAACAATCCTGGAAGGAAGGTGCTATTATTATCTCTATTTTACAGTTGAGAAAACTGAGGCAGACAGTAGTTAAGTGATTTGCCCAAAGTCACTTAGCTAGTAAAGTCTGAGGCCACATGTGAACTCAGGTTTTTCTGTCTCCAGGTCCAATAATCTATCCACCATGACCCTGGCTGCCATATATACACACATATGTGTGTGTGTGTGTGTGTGTGTATACACATACATATATATATATACACACACACACACACATATGGTGTTGAAACATCTTTCTGAGCCTCACTGTACTTATCTGTACAAAGGGGACAAAAACAGTGCTTACCTCACAGAACTATTATGAAAATCAAATGAGGTAATATGTGTAAAGCACTTGTAAAACCTTATAAATATGAGCGACTACAGTACTCTGAATCTAGTTTCTAGAGTACTTGTACCAAATCTTAATTTCTCCTTCGTATGCCATCACACACGCACACACAAGCTACCCATCAAAACAACAATAAAAAAGATATTTCTCTACCACATAACATAGAGAGGGAGACAGACAGAGGTTAAGAAAAAAAAGAAAGGAAGAGAAATACAGAGAGTGTACTATTTGAGGTGGTAAAGCATTTCAAATTACTTCTAAAAAACCTTTGATTTTCATAAATTAATAGATTGTTTTCATTCCCTGCCTCCTCCCCTCCCCTATTTAATGCTTGATTGAATCTATTTGTCACAAATGCATTCATGATGTTTTTCTTTAATTTTTTTTTAACCTGCTCTGGTATGCTCCTAATTTTTCTTTGTAGCTTTTAAATGTCTATTTGCACTGTTACTAATTCAGAGACTCAGTTCTCCCTGCCTGCCACTTAAGAGTCTTGCCTATAGTACTTTTGGTCTTTCCTTGTGTTTATGCTATGGACATACCCACATGGCCAAGCCCGGGGTTTTATTTTTTTTCAGAGGATTGTGCCTTCGGTGAGCAATGAGGCAAAACTAGTTACTTTTCTTGTGCCAGAATTTAAATGCCTGTTGTCTACTTAAATGACTTGGTCTTTGTGTGCAAAAAAAGCTCAGTTTTTCTATTGGGCTTTCCAGGACACCTCCACATAATAGGGTAGACATTTCCCCATGCCTTTTTAACAACCCAAAGGGTGAGGGATCCTTGAGGGTATGGAGGGGAGAGCATGGAGAGTGGTCAGTGCTAAGGGGAATTACTGAGGTGAGTGAGAAAGAAATTAGGAGAAAGGTGGGTACAATATATATGCAGTCTGTGTGAAGGAGGGATTGGGAGGAGGGTAAGGGGATTATGTTCAGAGGAGGAGTGGATATGCCCATCCCACATAAAAATAAAGGCATGTCCACTGTCCATTTTCTTTTCCTTTAATAGTTTTCTTTCTTAGTTTTCAGTAACAGCTTTCTGTGCCTTCTCCACATCTTTTTGGCCAGTGATTACATTTCCACTGTCTTGCTAATCCACCTTGGCCTTTTTTTCTCTGAGAATATTTATGACTAGATAGCATGTAGTCATTTTGGTCACACATTAACTTACCTTTGAACACTTTCTATTTCCTCCCATGGCTTTCTTTTTTTCACTGCTTTATACTGTTTTATTTCCCTCTTCATCTTCCCTATTCTTCCAAAATTAGCCCTCCTGACATTTAATGTCTTTAGCTTCCCCTCCTGGCATTGCCTTAATCCTCCCAGGCATAAACACAGCTATCATTACCCAAGCACCTTTGCTTATGTGGGCTTCCATGGCTCCATTTCTTAATACATCCCGGAGCTCTCCAGCAAAGCTAGATATTGCAGCTGTTCCCTATTCTCCCTTGCACAGATGGTTTCCATCAGGGCCTGTCCAGCGTAATGGGGACACACCTATTGTTTAGGTTAGTCTCTGTACTTCAGAGTGTCCTAGTTTACTGTTTGGTATGGTGTGTCCAGATGACCGTCTTTTCCTCCCTTTTGTGATAGCATCAACCATGCCCGAGCTGCTGTAACAGTACATCCTACAGGCATAGCAATGAATTCCCTTTGGATTGTTAAAAGGGGAGGAAGGCACTAAAGAAATTCACAGATTGCTTTCTAATGTGCTACATATTCTGACATCCCTGAAATGTACACGTGGAATGTACACGCTCTTCTTGCAAGCTTGTCACTTTCAAGATGCTCAGTTTGGGTCTGCTCTCTGCTGTGTTTGGGGTGCTTTATTCAGCAGAAAGCTGGAAAGCCACAGTTGATGGACAAGTCCAAAAGATTGATGCACAAATTGGGGCTGTTTATGCTTCAAGCCTTCTGGAAGAGTGGAAAAATACTCACCTCTCCTGAACATTTGCTCTGCTACCATTGCCAAATTATCTAACAACCAGTCCCTATCCAATTTGACAGCATGGTATTTATTTTTTTTTTTAAATTATGCATTGTGGTGTCTGTTTCTGCCTATGACAGGTTCCTTATAATAATAATACTTTGCCTTTATGTAGTTCCCTTTTATTCCAGAATCTCAAAGTGCTTTTGAATACCATCACCTCTGTGAAATTTCATAGACAGGCAAGCAGAGACATAGATTAAGTCATATGAATAGCAGAGTTGTTCCAAGGGCTTGGGGCAGCACTGGGCTGCCAGCTTCCAGGAAGGTATTTTATCTCCAGTTCAGTGCCCTACTATATCACTGTTCTTTCTTTTCTACTCCCTAAGAGCTAGGGGAAACTGCCCTGCCACCAGCCCACGTAGCTCTCTCTCCCTTCCAACCCTCTCCAATTGGCTCCCTCCTATCATCACAGTATCCCTCCCCTGTACCCCTCACCCACTTGAAAAATGGTGCTAGGGACAAGTCCAAGGTCATCATCAGATCGAAGACAATGACACGGTGTGGTAAAAGGAGATTGCCTGGGAACCTGAAATCCCAGTTTGCCCTCCTGAGGTTCACTGGTGATTTCCTGTGGGATCTCGGGTGAAGCATTTATCTTCCCTGAACTGCTTTTTCCTTAATTGAAATACAGAGAGAATAAGTGTCTTGCTTGCCATTTATTGACTTCACGGGGTGGCCTGGGACATGGGGCAAGGAATAGGAATAAGATTTGCACAGAAAACTAGAGCCTTTCCTAAAGAACGGTAGCAAATTGTTGGGGGTACTCCTTGTCTAAATGTCCCCTTTCCATGAACACAACTGAGATCCAATAATATCCACTAATTCTTTCATTTATAAGAGAGAAGCAGAGTGAAGCAGGTGAAAGAACCCAGCCCTGGTGCCCAGAGACCTCTATCAATTACCTGTTTAAATGAACTCGGGCATTTCGCTTGCTTTTTTGTCTCTCTTTCCTCAGTTGCCAAACGGGGATGATGATAATACATATCCTTACCCCTACAGGGTTGCAGTGAAGACCAAGTTAGATAAATAAAAAAAATATTTATTAAATACTTAGCTATGTGCAAAGCACTACGCTAACCACTGGGAATACAAAAAAAGTAAGACCATCCCTGCTCTCAAGATGCTCATCTTCTAACAGCACAAGACAATATATACGGAAGGTTTCAGCTGCACATCAGATGGAAAGGTCCCATAGTCCTTAGGGGGCAGCAGCAAGGCAGACAGTAATACCTCTTCTTTAATGTTATAATCAGTTTCTGGTATTGGACCATGTGGCAGTGCTAAGGACTTGGGTAGCGAGAATTATCTTTCCTGAGTCTTCAGTAGCAGTGGCTGGAGCACCTGCAGGAGCAGTGGCCAGGTTGCATATCCACAGGGGTTGTTTCCCAGAGTGATGGCTGAAGACATTGGGCTGGAAGCATTACAGTTTCCAAGGGTCTTGGGTTCAGCATCCTGGGATGTCTCCAACCGGGTCTGAGAGGAGATGGTGGTCAAGGTGTTGGGGGTGGTTTGAGTTGCCTGGTATATGTTGCCTCTTGTCTTTCAGGGTATCTTGCTGCATCAGCTAAGCTGGCTTGCCTGCCCTGTGTGACAGTTGATGGGAATGACTGGTCCCTTCTTTCTTTCTTTTTTTTTGTTTTGTGAGACAATTGGGGTTAAGTGACTTGCTCAGGGTCACACAGCTAGTAAGTATCAAATGTCTGAGGTTGGATTTGAACTCAGGTCCTCAGGGCTGGTGCTCTATCCACTGTGCCACCTAGCTGCCCCTGACCCTTCTTCATAGGAATTGCTGCTTCCCTAGATGATGGCTGTGAGGTCCGGGCTGGAAGCAGGACCAGATGGGGAAGTGGGAGGCAGGGTGCTGCCATTTCTAGGGCTTCTGTGCTGATCTGATGTATATGAGAGGATATATATGATAGCTCTGCATGAATTATAAAGCACTATAGAAATGTAAACTGGCATTTTTATTGTATGTCTGAGTAAAAATTGAATAAACATTTCAGCTTTGATCCTATTACCATTACATCTGTATTTTGAACTGGGCTTATATGTGTGTGATTATCATGTGGCACGGTTTGAGGTGGCAAAATGTATCAGGGCACCCCTATTTGCCCTCCAGTGCAATGGAGGTAGCTTGTCACCAAGAATGTCTACTCTTGGAGACATTTGTTGTGGGGCAAGCACCACTACTGGTTAATAAAAAGGTGGGCGGGGGGCAGGAAGCACAGGTAACCCAGGAAGGAAGATGGAGAGAAAGCCCATTAGCACGTGAGTAGCCATCTTTCTTCTTGTTGTTGTTAAGTTGTTTTAGTTGTGTTCGACTCATTACCCCATTTTGGGGTTTTCTTGGCAGACATACTGGAATGGTTGGCCATTTCCTTCTCCAAGTCATTTTACAGATGAGGAAACTGAGGCAAACAGGGTTAAGTGACTTGCCCAGGACCACACAGCTAGTAAGTGTCTGAGGGCTGGATTTGAACTCATGAAGATGTTTTCCTGATTCCAAGCCCCATGTTCTCTCCACTGCATCACCTACTATCAGAATAACTGAATTTTCAGTTTGGGTCATGATTGTTTGGATTTCCTTTGGGTATCAATCTATAGTCATAAGACACACAAAAGAAGCCTACAAAATTCATTCAGTTATTCAACAATCATTTATTAGACCCACTGTGCCAGGTTTTGTGGGATAAACAAGAGAGGCATGGTGGCTGCCTTAGAAGAGCTGACATTTTGCCTAGGCAAGCACATGCCATTTTGGAGAGCCTACCAGTGGGACACAGGACAGGTCATTTTTGACTGAGTGAGCCCATAAAGGTCTGTATCAGGAAGGTACAATAAAGTATATGGAATGCCTCAATGGAAGATTCCTGGCAACTGAGCATCTGGGAATGGGGATGAGGAGGACAGGGTGCTAAAAATAGTGAGACTAGAAATGAGTATGCTTCCCTTCTTGTCTGTCCCCATCAGCTTGATCTTCCATTGTCATTTCCCTCGGGGCAAAGATTCCCCATTTCACTCGATTGCAGGGAGAGTGCCTGGCATACAGCGCCATGTGCAGAGAGGCAGCGCAACAAAGCTTTTTGATTGATAGTTGTACTTTGACAGTCTGTGTATCTTTTTTTTTCCTTTTTGCCATTTCCTTTGGTTTATTAAAAGCAGAATCTTGAAATATCGAAATTTATTTTAATTCCCATCACATGCGAGTTCTGAGTTGCTCACGTTTCTGACTAGATTCCATCCAAGCTGGGTTTCAGCAAACAAAAGCAAGACGTTATAACACCTGCATATGCTGTACTCTACATTTCACAATGACACTGCAAGGACCAAATGAGATAACATATGGGAAGTGCTTTGTAAGATTTAGAGCACCCTATAAATATTAGCAAGTATTATTATTAAATAATAAGAGGATCACTGACTGAGAGTGAGAAGCCTCAGAAGCCATTAGAATCAAACCATTAGTTTTACAGATAGGGAAACTGAGGCAATGGAGGTTAAATGACTTGCCCAAAGTCACAAGGGCAATAAGAATCACAGCCAGGGTTTGAATACAGGTCCTCTGATTGTATCTAGTTCTCTTTCCACTGTGCCAGTACATATAATATGCGTTGCAAATTTTAAAGCTCTATATAATTGTTATTAATAGACCCCACCAGTTCTCTGGCTGGATGAAAACTGGTTTAAAAACCTTCATAACTCCTGAAGTTCCTTGTTGGACTCTGCTACCTGGGCGGACAGAAGGAGCCTTTCATCAGCCAGGGTACGGAATTGCAGAGTGAGGTCCCTGGACAGCCAACAGGGGAAATGCTGAGGGTGTTTCCAATTTAATTCAATTAATAATGTTATTTTTCCCTGGCAAAGACTAGGCTCAATGTACTCTAAACCTTCTTCAAAGAAACTTCTCCAACTAAAGGTTTTAAGCCTGGTCCAAAATTAGGCAGAAAAAAAAGTGGAGAGAGAATGTTAAATGAGAGAAAGTCAATATTAAAAGAAGAAAGAAAGAAAGAAAGAAAGAAAGAAAGAAAGAAAGAAAGAAAGAAAGAAAGAAAGAAAGAAAGAAAGAAAGAAAGAAAGAAAGAAAGAAAGAAAGAAAGAAAGAAAGGAAGGAAGGAAGGAAGGAAGGAAGGAAGGAAGGAAGGAAGGAAGGAAGGAAGGAAGAAGGAAGGAAGGAAGAAAGAAAGAAAGAAAGAAAGAAAGAAAGAAAGAAAGAAAGAAAGAAAGAAAGAAAGAAAGAAAGAAAGAGCATGTAAACACCTAGAGAACACATCCAAACAAGTCCCAATGTATCTGCTGCAACATAGCCCCTCTGGTCAAAAGCCTTTATTTCATTGTCCTATTGGCCATGACTCCAGCCCTGCTTGAACTGCAAGAGATGGGGTTTGGAGAGCTGCCTATCAAAGAAACGGAGCTTGTCCCCTATTTGTAGTGCTAAGGCAAAACCAACCCCAGCAAAGTTCACTCAGTGTGGCATTTATTTATCTCTGGCTCCAGCTCAATCTCAGGCAGGCAGAGAGCAGAAAGTCATTTTTTAGGATTGGGATGCTGGGAAAACTCCTATGACTTGGGAAAGCCATCTTCACAAAGGGGAGGAATTTCCCCCTTCCTTTTTTAAAAGCAATTTAGGGTGTTTCTCTTTTTAAATCTTTAAACTTTTGGTTGTGAAAAGGACCACACCCTTGCTCCCAACTACATTGCCCAGGTGATGTCTGCATAGGAGAGACATAGATTGGCCTCCACATTGGACCTTGTTTCTCCCCCCTCCACAGCCATGTTCAGGGATCTGGCTATACAAGGCTGCCCTCGTTTTCAGTTTTCTGGGAGCCATCGCTCTCCCTTTCATGTTCAGCTGCTATATAACCTTTTATGGGTTTTTTTTTTCAATCTCGCTTGAGTTTCACATCTGTTTTAACAGTACTTTGACAACCAGAAAACAGAACTGTTTACCCAGTTCACAGCTGCTGGTAATGCCGGGGAACCAGCCAGAAGGGACTGTTTCTCTGGTTAGCTCATCCTATGGAATGGAACCCTCTACAGGGTTTGTTGAAAGTTTTTGTTTCAGTTGGAGCAGTATCAAAAGTCCCCACATCTGTGAAGTTCTTGGACTCCATCCTCCTTAGCAAATCAAAAGGCCAAGGCCACAACTCACTTATTCCAGCAGCCTTTCAGATGGTTCCCATTGGTGGCACATCATGGCCTTTTCAAATACAGCAAGAACTGTGGAGAAAAACAGTCAATCATAGAATATACAATATATAGAACCACTCCCTCCATCATAAAAGTTTGTCATTAGCTGAATTTGGATCTACCACCAGAATATTTCCAAAGGGAGGGGGAGGGAGAAACACTATTGTACAATTCATAGAAACAACGTAGTATGGTGGAAAGGGCACTGATCTTGGAGTTGGGAAAGCTGACTTATAACTTCTGGGATCAGAAACCTGATAGAATGGAAACTGGAGAAGGAAAGCGACTATGTCATTTCTGTTTGTGCATCCTAGACAGCACCTCTCATACTGCAGCTAGGATAGCAGTAGATAGACCATTGGTCCTGGAGTAGGAAAGCTCTAAGTTCAAATCTAGTTGTGGACATTCACTGGCTGTGTGACCCTGGGCAAGTCACTTAACCTTTGCCTGCCTCAGTTTCCTCAACTGCAAAATAATAGCACCTGCCTTTCAGAGTTGTTGTGAGGTATTTGTAAAGTGCTCAATGCAGTGGCTGACACATAGTAGGCATTATTTCTCTCCTGGTACATAGTAGGTGCTTACTAAATGCTTGCTGACTGAGTGATTGGGTATTAATTCAGTTCCCTCACTAGCTATTCTAAGTGATCTGGGCAATTCTCTGAGCCTTACTCTCCTCAATCCACAAAAATGGGAATATTACATACTACCCACCTCACTGGGTGGTTTGGAGGAAAGCACTTTTGTAAACCTTTAAAAAGTACCATAGAGATATGCCATTATCTTTACTATTATTTAAATGATAGATTTTACAGCTTTTAAAGTGCATTTTCTAAACATTATCACACTTGAATATCACAACAGTACTGAGCAGAGCAAATATTAGCCTTTTTTTTTTTAAATGAATGAATATACTAGGACCCAGAGATGTTAATGGACTAGCTTCAGGTCACACAGTGGCAAGACACAGAGAGCCTTGCCTTAGTTTTCAGGTCTTCTGATTCTTTTGGCAATGCTTTTTCTCCTATACCCTATGGAACTAATCACAGGCTCATAGACTAAGAACTAGAAGAAACTTCCTAAATCATTTAGCCCAATTCCCTCATTTTACAAATGAGGAAACTGACACCCAAGGAGGAAGAGTGAGTGGTCCAAGGTTATATACTGTTTGTGTGTGTCTAACATGCATCTATTCAGTTTGAACCTAGGTCTTTCGACTCCAAATCCAGTGTTCTTCCCACTATGACAGACTGCCTGTCACTTTACCTGATAAAATATAATTAGCCTATTACTTAGGACTAGATTCTAAAATAACCCAGTTGTACTTTAGAAATTCCAGTATCAAGAATCCGCCAAATAATTCTGTCCAGAGCTCCCCTTTAGCACTCTGTAGGGTTTTTTTTTTTCATTTAGAAGCAAGGTTAGTTGGTTTCATTGTATTTTGGGGAGGGGCGCATAGTATGGGGGGATGTGCAGACCTGTGGTTTCATCAGTATAAATAACTTGTAAGTTTGGAAATGCCCTCCAATTAATCAGTCAATAAATATTTATAAAAAAGCCTACTGTGTGCTGGACACTGTGCTAAGTGGAGGGATATACAAAAAGGCAAAAGACAGGCCCCGCTCTCAATGAGCTTACTTATACTCTAAAGGAACTATGCAGATCAACAACTCATGTGTAAAGTATATACAGTAAGAGATAGTTGTTTAGGGCACTTAGAGATTAAATGACTTGCCCATAGCCACCAAGCTTGGAATATGTCAGAAGGCAAGACTCTGTGAAGTCTTCCTGAATTCCAAGGCTAGCTCTCTGCCTACCACTTTCATATAACTTCTTACATTACAGAAAATGTTTGGATATTTTTCACTGGAGCATTTCATTCTAGTAATTAAGTTAGGCTCTTAATAGCATAAAATTTGGTATGTTGAGGAAGTTGTGGGATTTCAAAAATTCCTGGAGCTGATCTGACTTTTCCTTCTCAATTAGCTAACATGTTTATATAATCAATCTGTTTTCACTGTAACTTTTAGAGTTTACTGTGGTATTCATGTTTCAAGAGGCTTTTCTCAAAGTGCCTTAAAGGCATGTCTATACTAAACATTTTTTTAATTTTTTTGCTGATGGCTTTATTGATTAGTTCAAAAATCAGTAATACACTTTAGTTGGCAAATCTGTTAAAAGTCCTCAATTTTATATTTTTAAGGGTCCAACAAGCTTCCATGATATGGAAATGCTTATTTACTTTATAAAATCTCCTTTGGGACCTGAAAAGTAGCTGTAGTTGTAGAATCCTTTATGCCTGAGTTACCAGAGCTCAAGTATCTGAAGACTTAGAAGTGATTTGACAGGTTAGCTTTTCCCCTCTTCATTGTGGGTATTCCCCGCCCCCCCCCCCTTAAATGACATGATTGATGTTGAGAAAATTCAGTGGGTCTTTTTGGTTGGAGAGTTTGAAGCTGATATGTATAATGTGTTGATTATTCTCTATGTATTTGTTAGCCAAGTGAGGAACTACTGCCTCAATTGCCTCCATTAAGAGAAAGTTTTTGGCTGAGTCACCCACATTTTGCAGATTCTCATATAAAAATGTTTTCATGACCTTTTTCCAAGACTCTGTGAGCCAGACTCTACCAGATATAAAGGCAAGGCATGTGTAGAGGCGTTATTTAATTTTTCAGGCTACTAATGAGCAATTTATAATACAATTTTCCTAGGATTTTTTTTTTATTTTGAAGGAGTAGTTGAGTTTCTTGAGTCTAATCCTGTGATTTTGTAGGTATTAAGAACTCCTAACACGGAAACTGTTCACCAAAGCAGATCAACAACTCTTCTGTAACCCTTCATGGGCTGGCTAGGCAGGAAGAACTTCCAGGACAGTCATCCTTCCCTCCTGCCTCCCCTTAGGAGGACAGATGTGGTTGTTCACACTATTTTGGTGAGCTGGGAGTCCCTAGGTATAAGGCTTCTGATGAGATGAAGGACTATCTGCTCTGCTGCTAGATGCTATAAACCACTCACCATTGTCGTCAAACCTGGTGGAGAACCCCGAACCTTGCCATCCTACCTACAGTTGAAAACTTCTGTATGTATTGTCTTCCCAAATCAGAATGTTAGTTCCTTGAGAACAGAAACCATCTTTTTTTTCTCTCCCTTTGTGCACATAATAAGCATTTAATAAATGTGTTCCTATTCATTTGTTCATTCATTTTAGCCTTAGAATGCACATAGTAAGCATTTACTAAATGCTTTCTCATTCATTCATTCAAAGCTTCCAGGGTACAGAGTGGTTAAGAGCCTTGTTGATGATCACACAGTTATTATGGGTCAGAGTCAGGATTTGAAAGCAGGTCTTTGAGAATCCAAGCCTTGTCTATTATGCCACACCACCTCTCTGTACCTTAGGGTACAATATGAAGTATAACGAAATAACGTATATAAAAATGATGTTCTTGATCCTCCATCAATAGAGTATTTTGAAATGTTTTATAAAAGTGGGGCTGATCCCTGAAGTTAAGTCAAGAATGACCTGCATCCTTGAACTCTTACTTTCCTGGTTCTGGTTGCACAGGCATTGCTCCTAATTCTGCCTGTCAAGCAGAACAAGTCCAGTCACTTATTCAAAAAGCATGCCTTTAAATTCTTGATGGTAGCTCTAATATTACCTCTTCCCCACCCCAAGTCTTTTGTTCTCCACTCTAAATATTCCCAGTTCCATGATCTTGCCCTCATTGGTAACTAGGCAAATAGGCTAACCAATGTTAAATGACACTCCAGCAAACATCTGACATGCCATCATTTCTCCATCTTCAAGCACATTATTTCCCATTGATTTGGGGGTGCTAACACTATGAACGCTTTTTGACTTGCAGAAAGCCTAATCACTATGTTTGGGTAGAGAGCAAGCCTAAAGAGAAGTTATCTCTATATAAGGACAAGAGAATTATTTGGAGATATTTACAAACAGTGCTCCATTTGTAAGCAGATCTTTAACTTTAAAATTTTGCTTCTCTTTTTTTTATTACTGCCCATGGCAGTATTATAAATACTTGTTTTAACTGTGCATAAACACAGAAATACCACAGATCTGAGTACCCTTCAACCTTCACCTCCCTCAGTCACTCTTTATAGAAGTTAGCCAATTGTAAATATATAGCATGGCATGTGTATGAACACAGTTATGTCAACTACTCTATCAGAAATGTGTCCAGCTCACAGTTGAGCAGTTCAAGCTTTCACACCTCAGCAGCTGAAACTGTTGATAAGACATAGTTATAGATAAGGGCAAAAACATAGAGGCAAAGTCATTTAGAAGTGGAGAGGGAGGAGAATAATTATTTCACAATGCCTTCCTTCTTTCTTTCCCTTTTCTTCTCTCCCATGTATATTTAATAAACCTATATCTGTATTTAATTGCTACCAGTGGGCAAAGTAGGCATCAGTAAAGCTGCCTGGCCTATTAGGATTGTCATTTGTTACCACTCACTCATTACCTCTGCCTTCTGCAGAAAATGAACCCAGTTCCTATGTACTTCTAGACAAATTTGTATGTCTAACACACAATCTCTTGGCTCAGCCCCCACCTAATTAGCTGATCTCTGCTTTCCTTCACAGCTGTCAACCAAAAGCATTTGTGGAAAGCAGTGTATCTCAGTAAATGTTTTAATTGGGTTAGGTACAGGGACAATAAATTGTAAACAATAAATACATATATTTCAGAAATGGCAACTATCTCTGTTTTCCCCATCACTTACAGAGAAGAGTTTTACCCTTCTTTAGGATGGAAGAAACGAAAAGTTCAAGGGCTTAATGTAAACCTTCCAATTCTTTCTAGAACAGGAAGGGAATAAACTTCGAGCTGTTTATACACTCCACACGTCTGATCATTTTGTTTGGGATGCCTCTCACTTGGTTACTCATGGATGTTGGTTTTTCTGCTAGTAGAATGGAAAGATTATGCATTGGCACAGAGATGTGTCAAATTACAAGTTTTAATATCTTAAAGAAGTCAATGCCCTACTTGAGAGATTCTGTCTATAAATACATATATTTGAACAGATATTCTTACTATATGAAAATATGTATATACCTATGTACTACACATATATTAAGGAAAAGTCCATTGAACACACAAAATACTAGAGAATGAAATGATATGAAGAAGCAAAATAGATATTTAACAACCTCCTTTCTTCCTCTACTCCCCTAAATTTTCTTTTAGTCTGCTCTTACTAGTTGTTACCACTCCTTCATTAGCTGATTCTGCCATCTTCTAACGAGAACTTTAGATGAAGGGCCCATGTTGGGCTGGATTAGATTTGGGAAAGAGCCAAGAGAAGTTGCCACGTTAGACATAGAGAGGCCTGATGCCACCACCTTCACTTGTTCATCACTCCAAAGGTCATCGTTCTCAACATAGACTCAAAAGAAAGAATACGTTATTGGGTTGGAGAGAAAGGGTAGAGTACCACAGACCTATCCTCACACATACTTTTTCTTCTCTCAACTGACTCCTCTTCACTATGTCTACCAATACAACAGGAAGTGGTTCTGTGGTGATGTCATAATGGGTACCCACACCACAAGTCACCAATTCTTAGATCCAAATCATGAGGGAAGAATGTTCAGTTGAAGGAACAAGAGATACTTTAATAGTGGCATTGTAACCTCTACTCACCTGAAGTTCTATTTTCAGTTTGTATTCAAAGAAGACATATATCCAAATGGCCTAGGCCCTCTTCATCACTAAAAGGCATAAGGGATAGGGAACAGGGAAGGAGGAGTAGATTCTGATGTGGGTAATAGTCTTGGTTCAAGAACTCTCAGAATCAACACAACCTGGTGCGCGTAAGAACACAGTAGCAGTCCTCCTTCTGCACTAAGAAATGGTTGAAGACCTAACTAAATTTAGGATAGTTAAGCAACAGGTTGCCCCAAGGTATACTTATTGCTTGTGCCACTGGAAGACTGCACGCACTCTTTATGATCATGAGGTTTTATTATGTCTATTTACCGATGTTATGTTTATAGGCTGCAGCACAGGTCCAGACCAAAAAAAGAACAAAAGAAACAGCACAATCTCAGTACTCAGAAGTAAACACTAAGGAAAAATAAAAATGAAGAAGGAAAAAAAAATCCTCCTTCAAAATGATCTCCAAGGTCCCTTTCAGGACTAAAATTCTGTGACTTTGATGCCAGGTTGGCAGGTTGAGTGGTAAGGTAATAGGAATAAGACTTGTCTGCTTCATGATATTAATCTCACTACAGAATTCACATTAACACTACAGTTATGACTGAAATGAAGTTTCCATTATTATGCTCAATCCATCTCTTTTTCTTTCTGTTCATTCTGTTTTTACTGACAGTTCACTTCTTTAAAAAGAATTCTCCTCAGACTGAAATTTTCCTTGTTTGACATCAGCCCAGTGGTAAAGTGTTTGGAAGGCTGGAGTCCAGTTTGCTCAGTGATGAAGGAAAACATTATATCCCTTCATAAAGTAAAAGTTTTCCCTCCTTCTTTTCTCCTCCTTTCTCTCCTTTCCCTCTTTCCCATCTTCACCTTTTATTTCAAATTTTAGTTAGGTGCCTGGGCTCCTTCCTCCCCAACAAGATTACTAATAGTCAAGATTGCATATATGTACAAGACAAGACAATGACTTGATATCAGACTTCTTCCTCGGCTAATATCCATTTCTGATTTTTTTCTTTCCATTTCAAGAGGGGAGATTAAATGTAGCATTAAAACAATGTCAAGACTGATCACTTAAGTGCCGTATGGATATTACCACAAGCACTTTAACTGGGACACTTAAAAATATTAGGCTGCACTTTAATTCTCCACTCAGGATCTACTTCATTTTTTCATTGAGATGGCCCTGCATTCTCCAAGGCTGGACCAGAGGACTGCAAGTATGGTCAGCTCCTGCTAAGCAAGAAAGGCTAGCAGGGGCCCAGTGATGAACCATTTGTAGGTAATCTAGGGACCAGCTGAATTAAGTCCACAGAGGAGCATCTCTAAAAGATACCAATCACCAAGGGATGAATATTTTCAACTATAGCACATTATTGTAGAAGGGTTGTAACTCACTTCAGTGTCACACTTGTGAAATCACAGAACCTTGAAGCACTAAAGTATATATATGTACATGGACACATGAAATGTATAGGTTTAAATGATGACATGAATAAATTTAGATTTATAAGTCATAGTATTTGCACTCAACTATTTGCATGGATCTGTGATACCTCCAAACTGGGTGCTTCCAATGATGTAGCTTACAAATAATCCATACCTCACTATCCTGTGTGACTTTTGTCTGCAGCTTCCCATAAGTTTGCTGTAAGGGCTGGGAGCCTTGTTTGATTTCTCTTGACATTGAGAAGATAAAGAAATTGGCTTGTCCATGTGTTATTCCTTCTTGTCTTGTCATGTGGCCAGCCCATTATCTCTACCTATTGTTGCTCAGTTTTGTCCAACTCTTTATGACCCTGTGGATCATAACATGCCAATACTGTCTGTAGGTTTTCGTGGCAAAGATACTATAGTGGTTCACCATTTCCTTCTCCAGTAGATTAAGGCAAAGAGAGGTTAAGTGACTTGCCTAGAGTCACACAGCTAGTAAGCGTCTGAGACTGGATTTGAATTCAGGCCTTCCTGACTCCAAGCCCTACACTCTCTCCACTGAGCCATCTGACTGCCTATCATACATCCCCATAATGAGTTCATTTCCTCCTGTTCCTCTTAGCTATATGTTGTACTCATTAGATATATGTTGTAGCCTTCTCACAGCCATCATGCGCCTCTCTGTGTCCTCTGTGAAATATTCATGTTCAGGTCTTTATTGTGTTCCCTGTCACACAGTTATACAATACCACTCCTAGAATACTGATGTTAAAAAGATACACCTTTGTTTCCAGGAGAAACGTGGTGTCAGTGAAGCGACTTTGGAATTTCCTGAAGGCAATGTTCTCTTCCTCTTCTTTAATTCTGGGCCCAACTCGCTATCTGTACTGTGTATCCTAGATATAGATTCTATGGAAAATTCTATAGGTTGTCCATCCAATTTTATTTCATAGTTTAGGCAATAGACATTCTTCATCCACTTGGTCTTTTCTTTGGAGGTCAGACCAAATGCCTTTGACTGGTCACAAATTTCTCCCTCAAGGCTTTGTCATGTTTTAAGGTTTGATGGAACTAAAATAAAGCCATGTGCAAACAGGAACATTCCACAAGGAATCCCTCTTAAATTTGTGCATGGGATCTCCTCCATCACAGTGGTAAGCATCTCTGGAAAGCAGCTGTCTCCTTTTTTATGCACGGTCTGAAATTTATGATCAAATGGTCTTTGAACAAACTTATCTCTGTTGTTATCTCTCACAGATCGTTGAATAATTTTGATGTATAGATGGAAGACACCTGGCTGAAAAGGAGCCTGTAAGGTATGTTTTCCTTTACTGAATCAAATGCTTTTTCATAACCAACAAGCATAATAAGATCATGCATTTTCTACATTTTTCAGTCGATTATGATGTGGTAAAAACCTGCTTCATTGTAAAATAGCTCTTGTGAAAGCATGCCTGTTATACTTTCCTCTTTCAGATACCTTCCGAAATGATGCTTCAGCACCCTCTGAAACATTTCACCCCCAGGACAGATATCCATAGTTGGTCCAGGACAGCTGCTTTCCCTGTCTTTATTTTTTAGTCTTATTTCTAAGTCTTCTATAAGCACATCTGGTTCTGTGATGCTAGATTCCAAGTGTGGTGGTTTGAATGTCCTTGGTGGTTAAAACAGTTTGTATTAAGATCTTTGCACATGATTTCCATTTTTCTTCCGTTTGTTGTTCTCCTTCCACATTCATCCTTAAATGCCCTTAGGATTTAAGGATTGTATTTCCATACGACATCTACATTTTACATTTACATCATATACATATTTTACATTTACATCAATACCTCAAGGATCTGTGGTTTCATTAGTATAGGTACCCTCTACACTAATGAGACTGCAATGCCTCTATGTCTTAGTAGATGTTTGAGACTTGCTATGGCTGAAAAATTCATCACTCTGTGGCTATGATTCAGCAGTCAAAGATGATGAAGCCCTCTGAATTTAGTCAGGCTCATCTTCATATAATAGTCCTACAGCCCAGTGACTGGGTCCCTCTTCAAAGCCTTCTCAGGATTTTCCAGACCTTATGGTCTTCTAGCCTAGCCTTTGAGAACCCAGCTGGGGATCCCTCCACGCCTTAATGAGACATTGGAATAAGATTGCAGTAGAAAAAAGAGACGGAGACCGTGAAATATCAAGAGACAGACAGAGACAGACAGAAAGAGAGACACAAAGAGAGAGACAGAGAAAGAAAGAGAGAAGAGAAAAGAGAGAGAAAGAAAGAGAGAGAGACAGAGAAACACCCTTTCCAACAGTACAGAGAGTAATCCATTCATGTCTTGTTAATTTTATAACTCTTGTTCATGTCTTTTCCTAAGCCTTCCACAGGGGGTCTACTCCATGTGCAAAGGGACTTCCTCTGAAACTCTTAGGTTGTAATGGAGCATATGGATATTAGTCATTCCTCAATCTTGCTATGTGACAGGCCCATCTCCTTTTCTAATAATACATTTTTGGGGGGCAATTGCGGTTAAGTGACTTGCCCAGGGTCACACAGCTAGTAAATGTCAAGTGTTTGGTCTGAGGCCGGATTTGAACTCAGGTTCTCCTGACTTCAGGGCTGGTGCTCTACCCACTGCACCACCTAGCTGCCCCCAATACATTTGTTTGATAACATATCAAATACATCTTGTATGCTGTTTTCTCCTGAGCAGTTTTCAACTGATAATGCTGGGCAGGCTGCTCATAAACCCACCATGGCTTTCTTCTTAATTTTTGTTGTTGTTGTCTTTCCATATAAATGTCTTGATTTTTTCTAGTTCTTTGAAGTAGCCCATTGGCATTTTGATTGATATATAATTAAATATATAAATTAATTTGAAAAATAGTGACATTCTCACCATATTGGTTTAAGCTAGTCATGTGATTTAGCTGTTTATTTCTTTCATCATTATCATTTAAATAAACTTATTTCTATAATTTGTTATTTTGTTATATATTTGTTATATATATATAATACATATTTTGTTATGTATAATTTATCCTTCAATTCAAACAAAATCAGAAACTCTCTGAAACAGATCTGACAGTTCAGTTTATCATCTTGTCCTGAGATTTATAAGTCACATTTATTTCCTTCTTTATTTCATCTTGTAATATGTTAATTTCACAGCTCTGTGGTGCTGCAGTGGATAGAGGGCTGGACTTTGAGTTAGGAAGGCGGGAGTTCAAATCCAGTAACTAGCTATGTGGCCCTGGGCTAGTCACTTAATCTCTCTCTGCATCAGTTTTTTTATCTGTAAAATGGGAATAATAATAGCACTTACCTTCCAGGATTGTTGCAAAGATAAAATTAAATAATGCTTATATGGTGCTTTGCAACCTTTAATAATAATAACA